TGTGTGTGTGTGTGTGTGTGTGTGTGTGTGTGTGTGTGTGTGTGTGACAGAGTCATTTCTCCCTCTCCCTACCTTTCTCTGTCTCTCTGTCTCTCTGTCTCTCTCTCTTTGGTGCACAACCGTTTCTCCCTCTGCCTATTCGACAGAGATGGCCATTTTTTTTCTCTCTGTGGCACACATTCCTGTTTCTCTGTCTGCCTCTCATCCCTCTTACCGAGTCTACTGATTGTGCTATAACTCAAGGGTTTGTGCCTGTGTGGTCACTGTGGTGCTCTGTGTGCCGAGTGATGGAAAACAAAGGAAGAAAACAATCCAATTCAAAAACAAATCAATAAATCGGTTCTTGTCACTTCTTGATTATTGTAAATTGAAACAACAATGGTTTGGACATCGCCTCAGTAGAAGTTGATCAGAAGAACTTCTTACGTCACACCCTACATGTACATACTTTTTTTCACAACATGCTGAAAACCTAGGCTACTTGGGCTGTCCAGCCGTTCAGACTGCGCTGGGCATCCAGGCAAGCCGCCCGGGGGGCTGACGCCTGGGGTACCCCGGCATGGGAATAAATGCGGTCAATTTCGTTTTTTCTTTTCTCTTTTGGCAGTGGGGGTTTTCCACACATCCCCAGAGGAGGTCAAATCCGGGAACACCAGCTTTGTGGGCGAGCACCCACAGAACACCCTAGTTTTGCGGGCAGGCACCAGTGTGGTTTAGGCCGAGCACAACATGCACGGACACACTTTCCGTGCATGTTGTGCTCTGTGAAGTATGTTCGTTTCAGAGGATGTACTGTGCAATGACTGAGGTACAGTTGGCAGAAAGTGTTGTTAATCTTCTCAGGCTTTTGAATTCAGAGCTAAGCCTTTTGTCGGCTACTTGTTTTATACTGTGAAGGGGACGGATGCAGAGTACCAAGGCCTTGTTCTCGGTGTGATTGGCGACGAGGATTCTCCCTTGAGTCAGGTACGTTCTACTTATCCTTCACCCATGTGCATTGGCCAGTGCAGAGCTTTTATAGTTTATGGCTCGAAGCAGATGAGGATTTAAGCCCCCAGAGAGAAGATTAGCATGGACCCTGTGCAATTAAGGATGACACACATAAATCGAGAAAGGGAAAATTGTTGAAATACCCCTAAAAGTTGGGTTATTTTGTCAGATACCCCTAAAACAGGGGTATGACCAAATGCTGCGAACTTCTGCTTTTGTCCCTGTTCCGGCCACAAGGAGCTTTGTGATATGCCCTTGGCCGTGGACTGCAGAGGTGGGTGCACTACATTTGCCATCTGCCGCATTACCAGGCCAGGCATCTTTTCTGCCTTCACGACATACAACTTGGTGCCGTCCCAATTCAAATTTGAAAGTGTTGTGTTGAGGTTACTGTTTCCTGCTGGGGTGTTGCCGTGCACATTTCGCACTCTGTGTTGCGCATGGGTGCCCTCGCCACCGGAAAGATCACTTGTATACAGTCATTATCAGGGTGCACTGTGCTCGGGGAAGACTGTAAATGGGGGGC